CCATCCTGAGAAATTAGACTTTAATCAGTTTGGAACTTGGTCATGGTTGTAACTCAACATTAGAGCACTTTAGCATGCACAAGGTCCTGGGTTGATGCCTGCACACACACACACACACACACACACACACACACACACACACGGGATTTACTCATTCACTACCTTATCTTATTTCCTATGAGATTTGGTTTAAGAAAAAGATAAGGCAAAAAAGTGTGAGTTTCATACTTTTATCATCTCTGTAAATATACAAATTCAATTGTTAGGAAATTATCTTACGGAAACAATTATGAATTTGTACAGTGATACAGCTAGCAATCTTCCTTTCTTTCTTCTGTTTTGTTTTGTCTTTGAGACAGCATCTTGCTATGTAACTCAGGCTGGCCTTGAGCTCACTCTGTAGCCGACGGTGGCCTGTGAACTCGAAGCAATTACCCAGCCTTAGACTGCTGGGATTATTGAGGCGTACCCACCACAACCAACCCGCAGTACTTTGTAAATTCGTAGTATGGTGAGCACTGAACTGAAAACCCGCGGGCTTTCTGACCTGGGTGGTATGGACTTCAAGCCCCAGCAGTCATTGCGGTGGACACTTTGTCGGGGGGAACTACGGAGTCCGAGAGGAAGAAAAAATTAAGCTCCCCTGTCCTTTCCCTCCCAGAAGCCCGCGGGTGGCTCGGAGCGCCGTCCGTATCATGGCCGCGGGAGCCGGGACTGCGGGCTCCGCTTCCGGCCCGGGCGTCGTGCGTGACCCCGCGGCGTCACTGCCGAGGAAGCGGCCGAGCAGGGAGGGCGGGGAGGGTGCGCGACGGTCGGACGCGATGGCGGGAGGAGGCGGGAGCAGCGATAGCAGCGGGAGGGCTGGAGGCCGGCGGGCGTCCCGCAGTAGCGGGCGGGCTCGGCGAGGACGCCACGAGTCAGGGCTGGGGGGCGCGGCGGAGCGAGGCGCGGGGGAGGCTCGGCTGGAGGAGGCGGTCAACCGCTGGGTGCTCAAGTTCTACTTCCACGAGGCGCTGCGGGCCTTTCGGAGTAGCCGGTACGCGGACTTCAGGCAGATCCGGGACATCATGCAGGGTGAGGGCCGGGCCGGCCGGGGGAAGGAGGAGGGTCTGTCGGTGGGGACCGCGTGTCGGGGGTGGCCGAGCCAACGATGTCTTCTTTCCCAGCTTTGCTTGTCAGGCCCTTGGGGAAGGAGCATACGGTTTCCCGGTTGCTGCGGGTTATGCAGTGTCTGTCACGCATTGAAGAAGGGGAAAATTTAGGTATGGTTATTTCTGTGTGTGTGTGTGTGTGTGTTTTGTTTTTTGTTTTTTTTCTGGGCTTGCTTACGCACGTAAAGATTTTGTTTTCAAACTTCTCGGGAACTGAAGGATTCCAGGTTAAGGTGCGCAGCTGTTTGCATCTCAGTGGGCCTTTGCATTCCACAGTGGATTTATTCTCTGTCTCTAGTTTTCTTCAGTTAAGGTTTATCTTGGTTGCTTTTCTGTGGTTTTTGTTTTCTCCCACCTGTTAATTGTTCACCGAACTTTGTTGTCAGAAGTGAATCATGTTGATATGGACATGTTTTTTCCACTTTAGAGTGGTTTTCAGAGTAAGAGCCTTTTGTGTTTTTGTTTTTTTCTCACTGTATTGAACTCGACAGCTGTTCAGCAAACTGTCTTACGTTTTTTAGCCATTTTTATCTTAGAAAGATGTGTTATATTTTGGGAGGCAGATATGTTTGTTAAATAATTCAGGGCCGGGGAGATGGCTCAGTAGAGTAAGCGCATAAGCGCAAGGGCCTGAGTTCAATCCCCGGTTCCGAAAAAAAAAAAAAAAAAAAATCAGCTATCTGGAAAAGAAAGTCTCTTTAAATTCATTGGGGAAAAACAGTTAAATTCATTAATTGGAATTTGACCACTTCGCAGGTATGCTAGTTTGTATCAGATACATTAGCAAAACAAGTGCAAATCTTAATGTATTTGTTCTTTTCCCATAAATATGTATATATTTTTGGACATCGTTTTTCTGCTCCCTAGAAAAGAGCTTGAAGTGAAGTGAAAACTGTGCTTTGTTCTAGACTGTTCCTTTGATATGGAGGCTGAGCTCACACCATTGGAATCAGCTATGAATGTGCTGGAGATGATTAAAACGGAATTTACACTGACAGAAGCAGTGGTCGAATCCAGTAGAAAACTGGTCAAGGAAGCTGTAAGGCTTTATTTTTTACTTTTTTCCCCTTTTAACAAAAATCTGAGGTGATTGAAGACACAGTGCTCAATCTTTTCTGTGTGATGTAGAGGACAAATAGAGATGGAGAAAGAATAAGCAAGCACGTGCATATAGATGTTACTCCAGCCAGGTGTCCCCTTTCCCATTCAAGGGTGCTACATACTCAGCTTTTGTGCATTTAGTGTTCTTCCTAAGAACTTCCTCTGTACTGGCTACAGTACACAGGAAGTAGGTTGGCATTCAGAACTGACATTTTGGAGGTAGTTGAACCAGTAAGGAGCACTGTGAAGGGCCACTAGTATCTCTGCTGTAGGGTTTGGTAACCCTGTGTATGATAAGCTACAGGGAATAGCTGGCCATGGGAAGTACAGGACTGACTTTGAGCTCTTCCATGCAGCTGTCTGTAGAGCTTGGAGATATGCCCTTTGAACGGACTAGAATCAGAGGTGCTGAGATAATGAACAAGCTAGGAAAACAACCTTAGAACGGCACAGGAGCATTAAAACTAAGAAAGAAGCCAAAAGCCAGGTGTAGTGACACAAACCTGTAATCCCCGCATCTCTGGGTGGCTGAAACAAGAGGATCATAAATTCCAGCCCAGCTTGAGCAATTTAGTGAGACCTTTTCTGAAAGCACTTAGGAATAGCTCATTGTGAAGGTGGGGGTTTCGTCCACATTACCACACAAAAAGAGAGAAAGGAAAAAGCTAATTAAATACCTAGACATTTGGGACTGTCATTGTGTCACTGCCCAGGTTGCATCAAGTAGTAGAACTTCTTATTTAAAAACATTAGAAATGATTGTGGGAATTAGTCAGAAAACGTACTTTTCTTGCATAACCAAGGCTGGAAATATGGAAGCAGATGCAGAGGTGAGATTGAACAGATCAGCATTGCTTTTGTGGGGGAAAATAAGGAAATTGGAAGAAAAGAGCACCCTTCAAAGGATATAATCCCAGAGGTGGAGATAGGATAGAGGATGCAATGCATGCTTAGCAAGGAAAACATTGGCTGTGTTCAGGGTACTCAAGTAGCCTGTCTTGTTTAAAAAAAAAAACAACACAAAAAAAAAACACACAAAAAACTAATGAGGGGCCAAGCAAGTGGCTCAGTAGACTACGCACTTGCCTGGCAAGCTCAAGGGCCTGAGTTCAATCCCTAGTTCTGCAAAAAAAAAAAAAAAAACTAATGTGAAGGGGATGTGCAGACATTTTATTTATTCAGTTAAAGACATTGTGCGGGAACTGCTTTTGATCATGTGAAGTATGGTTAGGTAATTATTATTCATTTCCAAGAAGAAATAATTCCAAGAATTGATTTTTATATAGGTGAATCAAGTTTGTATTGGGGTAAAGTACAAGAAAAACGTTATTAGAGTGGCTGCTTCCACAGCCTCAGGTTGTTGTAGTTCGATCCCCACAACCCTCCAGCCAGCCAAAAGTGCCCTGAAGGCATTCGAGGAGAAAAAAAAAAAAAGAAAAACGTTATTAGGGAAGAGAAATTCATGCCTACTTTCAAAATAGCTAAACTTCTTTTAAATGGGAAGAAATGAGCTAGGTGTGGTGCCACCTAGCTCTGATTCCAGCAGTTGGAAGCCTAAGGCAGGGGGACTGCTTTGAGTTCGAGGCCAGCCTCAGATACATAGGCTTTTCTCAAAAAATAACTAAAGAAAAAAAAGAAATAGTATCAGTTCAGAAGGCTTGCCAGTTAGCTAAGTTGTTTAAAGCGTTTGCTTGGGCAAACTCAGACGCTGGGGACCACGGTTTGATCCCCAGCTCTACATGCCACACCAGACCCGCCCTTAAGGCAGCCTGAACCAGCCCCCCCCAAAAAAA